GTCGACCCGGTCCTTCATTGGTAGACCTGGGTCCCTCATTGGTAGACCTGGGTCCCTCATTTGTAGACCTGGGTCCCTCATTGGTAGACCTGGTCCCTCATTGGTCGACCTCGGCCCCTCGGGGTTCAGCGACTCCGGACCAGTTAATACAAGGATCAGACCAGTCGACGCAAGGAATCAGAGCTTCAGGCAAGGATAGAGTAAAGGAGTTAAAAGGATAGGACTATATTAAATACTACTCAATTTGCGATCTACGTGGCACGACTCCGTCACCCAAGAAGGACTTGTTCTAAGTTACTCACTGTTCCGGGAAGGGATATATTTTGTCCCCCGTCGAAGACAGTCGTGTAGCGAAGTTCAAGTGCGAATAGAGCTCCAGGATACATTTGGCCTGTGAGCTCGTTCGAGTAGCAACACCCCCCAAGACCCGCTATCGGAAGCGGTCTCCCTCACCTCAAGGTCCGGGAGCAACGTAGAGGTCAGGTGGTTGATACCCCAAAAACAAGAAGGAAAAGGCCAGGGATAAGCTCCCTGAAGAATTTGTCTCTAAGCCCACTCTCGACAAGGTCGATCGAGTGGCCACCTACCGACTCACCGAGTGAAGCATATCCACTCGAGGCCCCCCAGGTCTACCTCCCTCAAGGCAGACGTCTACATCTTCACCAAGTCCTCCGAAGAGTGCAACCCGCCAGCCGACGGGTACACAAGGTGAGAGAAGGTCCATACGCATGATCGGGGTACCCCCTCCGACAGTCGGCAGTCCGGCACAGTGAGTGGTTTGGGGCCTCATCATACAATTTTGAGAACCCACTCCACCACATGCCTAACACTAGAGATAATCACTATAATATTCCCATAAAGTAGTCTTATATATGAGTAATACAAGAGATATTAATAATACCTTATACTATCGATATCGGGTCCATAATTGATTTAGTAGTACTAAGTACAAATTACACTGATGATTGGATGCTTCCATATCAAGATACAGACGATGGCATACTCTAATTATTACAATAGTAGTAAATCTAGTGTAAAGTACTTAGAGTAGGATTACTCATAAATTCTTAATGCATGAATAAATTCAGTTCTCATTTTGAACGTCGTAAAGATAAAGTCAGTATTACCGTGCTTCTCTGGTGCAATTAGTTCGTTGGCTACTTGTACCTCTAAGCTTCTAGATTGTTCTTGCAATCTGTGCGTTTGTTCTTTAAGCCCTTCAGCTTATTGCTTGTTGACTAGAAACCCTCTGTGTTAGGGTGGGTTCTCAAAAATGTATGATGAGACCCCAAACCACTCACTGTGCCGGACTGCCGACTGTCGGAGGAGGTACCCCGATCATGCGTATGGACCTTCTCTCACCTTGTGTACCCGTCGGCTGGCGGGTTGCACTCTTCGGAGGACTTGGTGAAGATGTAGACGTCTGCCTTGAGGGAGGTAGACCTGGGGGGCCTCGAGTGGATATGCTTCACTCGGTGAGTCGGTAGGTGGCCACTCGATCGACCTTGTCGAGAGTGGGCTTAGAGAAAAATTCTTCAGGGAGCTTATTCCCTGGCCTTTTCCTTCTTGTTTTTGGGGTATCAACCACCTGACCTCTACGTTGCTCCCGGACCGTGAGGTGAGGGAGACCGCTTCCGATAGCGGGTCTTGGGGGGTGTTGCTACTCGAACGAGCTCACAGGCCAAATGTATCCTGGAGCTCTATTCGCACTTGAACTTCGCTACACGACTGTCTTCGACGGGGGACAAAATATATCCCTTCCCGGAACAGTGAGTAACTTAGAACAAGTCCTTCTTGGGTGACGGAGTCGTGCCACGTAGATCTCAAATTGAGTAGTAGTTAATATAGTCCTATCCTTTTAACTCCTTTACTCTATCCTTGCCTGAAGCTCTGATTCCTTGCGTCGACTGGTCTGATCCTTGTATTAACTGGTCAGGAGTCGCTGAAACCCGAGGGACCCGGGTCGAACGAAGAGGGACCGGTTCTACCAAAGAGGGGCCGAGGTCGACCGACGAGGGACCCAGGCCTACCGATGAGAGACCGGGTCGACCAATGAGGGACCGGGTCTACCGATGAGGGACCGGGCCTTCCAAAGGGGACGATAGTCGATTCCTTTCGGTACCGGTTAATCGGAACCCTGATGCTGGTTTCTCTTTTGTGGGTCCTGCAAATTGTTCCCCGCCAACGGTCGCTTCCCTCGAGGCCCCTGTCTTTCTGGTCTTTTTTTCCCTGATACACGGTCCTTTATACTCCGAATCCAACTGGATTATGGGGTCTCCATATCTCGAAACAAGCACTTCACCACAGTAGCTTGGCAATATTATATACAGTTTTCGATTTCTTCTTAGCCCTTGCTGACAAGACATCCTCTCACGTGTACGTCAAGTTCTGACATCTTTACTGTCATCAGTGAAGGTAAATTATACTTTGAGAGTATAATTAGAGGGTGCCCCATTACAGCGTAAGACAGTGGTGTAGTGGATTCTCAAACGACGTGAGAGAACCACAAACACACACAGCGTTGAACTACCGACTTACGGAGGGGTCACCACGATACCGTGTCGTGTTAACCTTGGGTCTCACCTTGTGTACCCGTCGGCTTGGCTGGTCTTGCTCCTCGGTTGACGCAGAAGGCTTAAAGACTTGGTCTTTGTATAAGACTTGGACTTGGTGGTCCCCAAGTGGATATACTTCACTTGGGACCGGGTTTCTTGTGCTCGATCGACTTAGTCGAGAGCGATGCATCTGGTACTACGTACCCCTTTGGTGGCTGACTGTTCTTGGTCTTTCGACCCCTTTTCTTGTTCCCCGTAGGGAAACCGCTTCCTGTAGCGGGTCGTAGAGTCTTGACACCTCAGGCTAACTATCATGAGGTTCTACTTGCGTAGCTTGAGCCGTCTAGCACCTAATGACGTCGGTGGGCCAAAGGGTATCCCACCCGGAAGAGATTAAGCGACGTAGTAGCTTAGAAGGGGCGCATAAAGCTGTCACGTGTAATGCAAATTCGAGTGTTTATTTATCTTATTCTCTGTATGCTTTTCTTGTCAAACCCTAACCCTTCGCTCTGGATGGTACCACATGTCAACTTTTAAAAGAACAACTGGCTCTTTTAGGACATGGGACTTGTACCGTCTCTGCACTTTAGGGAAGACTTGTACCTTCTATAACCTTGGGTCACTTGGCCAACTGGGGTCAACCGGTCACCTGGTCACCTTTGGTCACCTGGTCACTCGGGTCACCTGGGCCACCTGGTCACCTGGGGTCACCGATCACCTGGGGTCAGCCTACACCTGGGGTGTAGACGGGCACTTCTACGAAGTTCTCTCGTGCTACTTAGCACACACCTTCAGCACAAGCGAAAAGGCGGTTAGACTGTCTTATCTTCGCGTTCGAGGGTGGTTATGCGGTTGGCCGACTGCTTAAGCAGTCGTACCACCAGTTGCCTCTCGCTTAAGCGAGAGTGCAACGAACTTCGTAACAACAAGTCACCGACGTCACGTAGAAGCTTTTACAGCTTCTCGTGCGCGGTGCTTTTGATTTGACAAATCCAAGACTGAGCTATATTTAATGAATTATAATTATATATAAAGCTAACTACTGGTTGGCTATATACATATAGATCGGATACGCGACGCTTTTAGAAGCGTATTCTGTCGCATGAGCTTAAATCTAGATTTAAGCTTGCGAATGACGTCTTTCTGAGACGTTGCGATGCTTAGCTTCAACTAGCGCCATCCCTTCCCATGTGAATCCATAAATGGATATCACATTCACGAGGGTGGATCACGTTTGTGTAACGCACCTAAGTTGACAGGTCAAAAGTAATCATGGATACTTTTAGACCTTACATAAAGTATATTACTTAATGTTTGCGTGTAACTAGATGCCCTGTTACATTAGAAGTAAAGATTTCTCTGCTAACCTCGTGTACGTAAGATTTCAGATCACCTGCTTACAATGTCATCAGTGTAGTCGGAGGATGCCCTGTTGCAGGTCTCGTTATCACGCAGTTATGCACAGTATGAACAAGGCCGTCCCATGAGAGTGTAATGGGCTAAAAAGATACACGGTTAATTATGCATAGAATACTTAATGGGCAAGCCTAAAAGGGTACGAGGTACCTTAGGCCTGTCACTTGGGTGCGGCACATCAATGTGACCCACCCTCGTGAATGTGATATCCATGGATGGATTCACATTCAACGGGGATGACGCCCAGTTGGGGATAGGCGTCATGGTTACGCTTTAGACGGACGTCATCAGCGAGCTTAAATATATATCAAGCTCGCATGTAAGGAAAGAGACGCGTAACCGATCTTTATATTTGACCAATCAGTAGCTAGATTTATATTTAGTTGAGATCTACTAAACATAAGTAAATCTTGAATTTACTACATCACACTCACTGCGCACGGGAAGTCTGGAAACAGCTTCCGTGACGCAGGTAGGTGCTTGTTAGTTGTTCGTTGCGCGGACCGCTTTTAAGCGGCCAGCAACGGTTCGTACTGCGCTTAAAGCGGCCGACCAACACTACCATCACCGCACGCGGAGGTAAGACGGTCTAATCGGTTCCTCACGCTGCTTGAAGGTGTGCCCGCGTAGTACGTGGAAGCTTCTTTACAAAGCGCCCGTCTTTAGCATGCGTACACAGGAAGTACTGCGCATGTTACACGACAAAAGGCGAGGCAATGCATCAGTATGCAAATGCCCGCCACTTTTCTGTATGTTGACTATTCACCGATGCGTCAGCTCAGTCTTACAATTGACATCCGACTTACTCGCACAAACTTAATCTTTTCATCAGAGCGATGGCCTACACACCATCTTCCAATGTGCATGTCAATTTTCAAGAAATTCTTCTAGCTGCAACGAATTCAAAACACTCTCAAGCAGTGTTTTGCGAACAGGCCACCGGGAAACATTTTCATTTTCAGTCAAGCTTCCAAACGACGTGGATCCGACGATTTTGTGCTGTCCTCTTTTGCGCTCACAACCTAATGACTACAAAATTGAGTCTTCAGCCAGCCGAAGCCGCAGCTGGTGGCTCAAGCGCCGTCGTTGTTGCGGTGGAAGACGAAAGCGCAACCACTCCACGCCCGCCGGTGTCTTAACACCCAGATCAAAAATGGTTGGCTCTTTAAGACTTTCCTCGACCGCCTCAATAGATTCCAATCGTGTTCGAGCCAACACGGCTTGATTTTGTGTACCGCTCATTCCCACGACATACACACAGTCATTCGAACACACAACAGTCACTTGGACCAGACGACGTGTTGTATCGCCGGAAAGCAAAATGCTGCGGAACGGTTCATACCCGGAGGCTTCCAACTGCTCCTTTGATAGATACTCGAGATTTTGTCCGGAGATGATCAGCTTGTTCTCGTCCGAAAGTACCCAAATACCATGAGCAAAAATTAAACTACTTCCAACCGCGTCTGGTAGCACTTTCACTTTGTAACGCAGCAGTTCATTAGGTCGCGCAATAGAAGGCGAGACATAGTCGGCAAATGGCGTGCGATCGCCATTCATTCCGTATAGCAGCCCATCTGAAGCCATAGACACAAGTGATGCTACGCCACCCATAGGTCGGGCAACAATACCTACCAATCCCATGCCAACACCGCCCACAACGTTTCGAATTCCGGTGTCAAGGCCTTGTCTCTTGCGCTCCTTGTAAACTGCGATCGGAGTAGTAATCACTCCGGCTGCAGCCCCAACGACACTTGATCCCAGCGACCCCAAACCATCCGCAAGCGCTGATGACAAATGAGTTGGTCGAGTGTAATGGCGCTTCCGAAGCTCATCAGATGGCAATGTGAGTTGATCCACTGTCCGCGAAATGGAATATGAAAACCCGGACACGGATGTGAGCGTTGCTGCCGTGGTATGGCCCAAAAAGGAGGCAACACCGCCCACGACGCCTTTTGTGAGCACCCACGGACTGTAACCATTTCTAGACGCAGCTAAGGGAATTTCAACGAGATCTCGAACTCCTTGACCAAAACTCCGTAGAAACCCTCTGCATGACAAAATAACGACAAAAACATTCCTCAGTCACAGTCCAAGACACATTTTGACTTTGTAAACTTACGCTGGATTGCCAAAAATGTTCAACGACATAAAAAGCATTGGAGAGCGGACAATTGTGTCGGCAACGTAGTCTGCTGCCAAATCCTTGTACAGCTGATCGGGGAAAGAGAACACGTCTCGCATCTTAGTCGATCCGAAGTGCAGCGGTGTACCATCAAAACTGTTAAATACAGGGATTGCCACGCGTGCTGTGACAGTGACGTCTAGGCTGCTGATTTCAAAGCGCTCGATATACACTTTGCGCTGTTTCGATTTCGCTGCCGATTCGTACGCATACAAGCTCCAGGTGTCCTCACGACAAGGTGTCAAACACAAATTGGCACTATTGTCCATCAGGTCGGAAGCAGCTTCACCCTCTAAGGAATCAAGCATTGGTCGAATGAAAGCGTTTACATGTATCAACATGTCATCTTCCACCTAAGCATTTCACACACAAATCAATAATGCCAGAAATTTACCACCTTGCCACAATAGTAACCAATCGTACCTGAAGGACAGCCGGTAATAGCTTCAGCTCAATGCTGTGAAAGTACGACGGAATTTTGAACGGGTCCCACGTATCTGCGTAAATGACCCTAGAAATCAAGCTCGTTTTTTCTGTTCCAGGTAATTGGTTGTCAAGCAGTTTGCCCATCAGGCTTCTTAGTCTCTCATGCTTCTTAACGCAATCGATCTGCCGCAATTCATTCGATCCACAAGCCTTGGGGAAGCAAAGTATCAGTGGGAAGTTGCAGGTTCTTAAAAAATGCCTCACTTTAACATTCTCAATCGAAATGAAGAACGTTGTGTACGATCGAACATGTGACATATAACCCAGGCGTGTACTGTGGCGGGAAGCTTCAGGTGGATCTGGAGCCGTTGTAAACACGATTGACACTGCGTTGCAGGTCGCTCGCAGTATCTCAGGGTATACGATCATCCCACTATCATCCCGTACGGGGTCGTGTTCGTCGCAGAAATGGAGAGATAGCTCCTCCACGATCAAGCCAACTCTCAAGAATGTCGGCGTAATTTGCTGCGTTGTTGTTGGAGACAACATTGAGGCTAAGACCGACGGTGATACCTGACTCGTATGACCGTAGTGTGTAGGGTCCTCAAGGCAGGTTATAGTTACCAGCCATGATCCTGCTCTGTAAGAGCACATAACCAAGAAGGTGGGAGCTGGTGTACTCATCGCGTCCTCCTTCTCGCTAGTGAACGACGCGAACTGAATTCCTTTGACTTGCCAAAGCTCGTTAGACCACCCGTATTGCGGCGATCCAATTTGAAAACGTGTACGGTCGTTGTTTGTTGTGTCAGACATGTCACCACTCTCAACCGACTGTGAGGCTTTTAGCCAGTCAGCCATCAAGTCGTAATCTGAATCAGCATCCCTATTGTTGCCTTCACAGATCCTCTGTTTCGATCTAAATTGCTTTGTCGACACCTAAAAACAGTCGTGCGCATTAATGGTTTCGGTTGGAGCTGCAATGGTTAAAAGAATGGAATTGTACCTGTAGACCCCAATCGTAGTCTAGGCAGAAGTTAGCACCAATGCCTTCTGGATCCGATGAACCTGACACATTTCGGAAACCCAATACTCTTTGCCACTGGTTATGGATCACCACGGGTGGCTGGTGATCCACAAAAAAAAGAATGTGAATAGATTTTCCTTTTCGCGTCATTGTGTAGGTTAGCATTTTATGCTTGAAGTCACGGTGGCGGATCAGCAAACGCCTTCGGTGGGTTGTTGTCGAGGAAGTCGGATACAAATCATCTGTGTTTGTTGGCGGTGTTGACGCTGATGACGCCTCATCCACTTTCAGGTTGCCACCTGGATTAAGTACAAGAGGGATGTTTGGAAGCAGTACCGATATTTCCTCTGTCCACTCATATCCATCTTCCACTAACTTCAAACGAAAGGAGCAGGATAGTCTTGCCACTAGATCCAGCTTCGGAGCATTTGACACGTCCTCGCTGGAGTGCCTTAATAGCTTGAAACTCAACCACGACGACATATCAGCAGTAATGCTTCTCTTCTTTTTCTCTTTGTGTAGACACACAGGTACACACCATCCACCATTATTACCCGAGATTACCTGCCAACAAGAAATTTCAAACGAGCACGGGTAAATGCATGAACACAAGTGCCTACATCTTAGCATCGTTGAAACAGTTACTGCGTAGACGTACCGATGGTTCATATTGCTCTATAAGTGTGTTACCTCGACTGTCTGTAGGCACACACATCAGCGCACAATTCTAAACGATTGGGAACGAGTCAGTTTCCACAATGATCGAGCAATCAATAATGTCGACAAGAATTAATTACCGTTGAGTTGATCACCACGACTTGCGGACGGATAACAAGCTTCAGATACCCATTTAAATTCACCATCTCCATGCAATACGCGCTGGCCAAACTCGTCAGCCTTGCCCCTGCAGACGGCACAACAATCGGTTTTGTATCACCTTTCACATTAAGTAAGACTTCTGGAGACCATCCTATCTGGCCAGATTCAGCATTTGAGTCTGTAACAGTTGCGATCGATACCACCAAAAAGTTGCTGATCGTTAAGAAATCAACGGACCGCTCCACACATGAGTCAATCTTCTCCAAAGATCGTTGAGTTCCGAGAGGATTGCCAACACTAACGGTCAAAACGCTCGGCGTCATATTGGCAACGGTAAGAATACGCTCTGTCCTGATTCGGACCATCGGGTGACGATCGTTACAGAAGTTAACGATCACTTTGCAGCCCTCGCAGACAAAAACCTGCTCCTTTGAATCTTTGTAGGCGATGCCTTCCAACGAAAACGCCAGTGGCTTTTCAGCAACTTGCGTACTGGTAGAGCTTTGTTCGTACAGCAGTTGCACATCTACCGGCTCACATGGGTTAAGTGCAGACAAACAATTTTCACTTGAAGGGGCGATTTCCAACTTGACGGTCGTGGTCTAATCAGCAACAATACATTAGTACACACGCCCAGAACGAGCAAACGAATGTTGTGATTTTACCTTTTGTGATAAGTAGAGTGCTACCGGAATATCCATAGTATTCTTGACATTGATAGCAGGCCACAATGAAACCTCCATCCATGTGTACCGCCGCGACACGTGGGGTTGCAGTGGGTCAAAGTCCGTAGGCAGCACGGTCCTGCATTGCGCACGAGCGATCGTGACCCAGACATACTGAGTAGGCTTATCTGATTTTTCGGAGGAGAGAGCTGCAAAGCTGCATTGCGTTCTCTCCAAGCTTTCCCCTTGGTCATCACTAATTTTCACAAGGTCGAACTCACTAGGGACGTCTCCTTGTATTGACACACTGTACCACGAATCACCATCGACACCAAATTCAACATTTTTTACGGACTCAAGCATAACGCGGGATATGCTGCCATCGACTTTTGCTGATGCAGCCAGAGTGCACGCCGAGCCGTCCACTGAAACACAATTAGAGTGGACTCGCTGAAGTATATAAGTATCTGGGAAGAGCTTGTCGGATCTTCTGCACTCAAATACTGAAGCCTCCTCATTAACTCTAATCAGAACAGGAAAGTCGCAGTAATTTCGGATAGTCAGCGACGACCGAAGTGTGACTACTGTCTGTAAACCGCTCAGTTCCACACAAATCCACAAGAAGCCGTGGCCGCCAAAGTATCGACCAGTAACTGCGTTTTCTTTAATCCTGCACGGATCGCACCAGCGTGAGTCCTCATACGCTGGCCCAGTTTGCTCATTTTCGCTGATTTGTAATTCAGTTAGCTTCTGTCCTGGATCGTTCACAGCAAAGCGAAGCTGATAAAACGGGCTGCTCGCCAGCGAGAGCCAGCTATATGCCGCACTCGCGTCTGCAGCTAGAAGCAAGCACTCTGAGGTTCCTTCCTGTCGATACCAGATGTCCATACCTACGCTGTTGACGATCCTTATACGCATATTAGACAGCTTGTCGTCTGATTGTGCTGGAATCCGGTAAGAAGGTTTTCGGTCCACCTGGAGAAGCTTCGGGATCGCAGATATCATCAGCATCGTCGTATGGTTCAGACTGACGGAGACCGGACCAATTAGTGTTGAAAGCTCAAGGCCCTCCGGAGAGATGTCAACCATCATGTCAACTGAGGTTCGCGGGATAACAGACACAGTAAGAAGCTGAGCCATGTTGTCAACGTATGCTTGCACCGATGAAGATACGCGCACAGTCAGTCTCCTCGTGTGACAACTACCAGAAGTCATACAAGATATTACTGTATCGTTGAGCTCAGCAGTAATGATATCGTGGGAGTCATTCCGAGAGTCCACATGACTAACAGACAGCATAATTTGTGGAAGCGTGATGCTTGAAACCACGCGCTGGTAGGCGTCACATGTCAAAATGGAGTTTATTTGCAAGGATGAAGCAAGCAAGGCGTTCACCACGAGGCGTCTCTGCTTATTCTACAACATACACACAATATGATCAGTTTTAGCCTCATCATAGCCACTGGTCTTACACGCACCTCAGACTCCTGTTCACTCTGTAGCGGGGTTCTCCATCTTAGCTCCCAATTATCTGAAGAAACATCGCTATCAAAAACGAACTCCCTTCTTCGGGCACCAAACTCAAGCAATCTGGATCGATACCGTGATTCCTCTATGTCATCGTCAAACCATTGGCTCATCAACTCACCAAAACTTCCTGGTTCGATGGCATCTTCTGACCCACCAGAACTTACATCGGTCGATGCAAGTTCCCACGGAACATAAAATTCACAGACGACAGCATAACATTTTCGTTTACTATCCCAGTACCTCAACTGACAAAAAATATCACAAAGTCGGCCCAAATGATCGTCTTGATCCTGGCCCCAGCTCCACGAAGGCCAACCATTCGGAACTCCAGCAGGAGGAATGGGCACAGGGTTAGCCTCAATCTTACAGATTTTGCGGGGTATATGGTAGCACCAGCGCATTCCCATCCAGCTGTACGTCTTATTACCCATTCCAGTGTAGAAAGACTGTGCCCCACTAGGTTCGGGTCCTTCGATGGTCCATGGCTCATTGCAGTCTTTGAGATAAGCTGTCACGTCAGCTAACTTAATGTCATATTTGTTAGGATCAATCTGAATCTGGACATTTACGCCTGCAATCGGGGAAGATTCAGTCGAAATGACGCTCTGAGTTTCAATCAAAAGAGGCTTTGTAAACATCAGTTCTCCTGGTAATGGTCGTCGGCCTTCTGCTCTCCTCCTCAACATTCTGAAATCATCGGTTGAATATCCCTCTAATTTTTCGGGTGCATGACTTCTTTGCACAAGAGTCTCACTTGCAAAATTCTCACCAGTACCACCAAATGATCTATGAAATGAGATATCACAATCTTCGTCGCTGACAGCACACACCGTCAACAGTGACTGTATTACTCCTAACGATAGAGATGAAACCTTCACGCAAAGAGTATTTACTTCGGCCTGAATACTAAGACGTGTCATGTCAGTGTACAGTAAACAGATCTCCGTATCCGCTACAAGTACTCGTTCAAGTATTTGATTCTGTACTCCAGTAATTTGAACGCTGCAGTCATGCAGCAGGCGCTGAGCCTCGGACACAGCATTAATGTATTTTGAAAACTGCAGCCAGGTACTGGAAGTTTGTGTAGGACTTGGGCCAACTGGTGCGCTTTGATAGTACACCTGCAGGAGAGGCAGGTCATCGAAGGTGTTGATACCAAGCTTCTCAATATTCATCATCATCTCTAGCGTGGGCACATCGACAAAGCGAGTAATTTCGTTGACAGTTTGTCCATAAGTATGCAGCGACTGCTGGGCTTTGTCATCACTGCCACTTCCCATGCTCACAAATAATTGGCCAGATGTCATCCAAACGCCTGACCTTGCTCTCTTTATAGGATTTTCTCTCCAGTACGACATCACTCCTGGAGCTACAAGCACCTTTATATTCCATCTATGATGGATAACGAACGGTTTGCGCTCCGTACGTAACATAATTTGCTCATCAACTTTCACTCCACGAACGGAATTCGAAAATAAAAGATTCGGCTTTATGTGAGCGAAGCGAGACAACCCTAGAATAAAGTGATAAGATACGTGAAGTTGATAAGATTGCACGTCAAGAAAAAGTGTTCCATCTGAGTGATCACCAAAATCCCATCTTGCAGCAATTAGCTTCTCAGGATAGTTCTCCACAGCTAATTGCCACAAGCTTGGCTCCGCATTCGCCCCAAAGACCACATCTTCTGCAGCGATTTGATTGCATCCCAAATTTTGTGCACCTTCGTTTGTTTGATGACCCACCACTATATTCTGAATAGAAGCACTGCCAGCACGCGTCGTAATATTGTGTCGTATGGTGATGGCTCCAACGCGAACATGAGTGGACGTATTCGGTTCGAACGCATTTACCTCAATCCCATCGCAGGAAAAAGATACTTCTCGCTGGTACGTACGCTCGAGCACAAGAAACGGCTTTTTCGACTTTAATGACTTGTCTGGCTTCAGCCTCAGCCGTGACGATGGCACAATAGACCGGCTCAAAACACTGATTCCTCGATTTAACCCCAAGACCCGAGTAACCAATACGTCAAACGTTGCTTTACGCAGGTCGAGTCTCAACTTGGTCACAGCAACAATAGCAGAGATTTTCATTCTTGTTTCGTCAACTTCGTTCGCAGCAATGGGCTTCTCTTCGAGACTGCATGTTACGTTAAGAGGCGACCAGAATGTCTCCACCTTTGAGAAATGTGCTGAATGTCCCGATACACGACCGATGTGGTCTTCAAATGGACCTTTTTCCTCAAGAATGCTGTTGGCAGTCGATACGGCTTCGTTAAATTGTAATTCGGCAACGAGTCCAAACATCTTGCCGGCTCTGCAGCCAATCCGCATCTGCGGCTGACCAAATCGTTGAGCTTGAACCGTAGGTCGCCTCGGTAGGACTCTAGAATTGAATGGAGGATATCCCAATCCATCCAGTGAAATACCACTTCGCACGGCAGATGCGACTGACAACGATTCCAATACAACGAGAACATTTCCTGACACTGGCCGTGCCAAGATGATAGCATCCATAATACTTTCGCTAGGAATAATCAGGCGAATTTGGCCACACAAAAGAGACACCTCAATATCTACCAAAGAGTCTTGAGAGACCGCACCATGTGGCCTTTGAGCTCTCGCCTTGAAATCGTTTACCGTGCCGGCTGTAGCTCTGCTGCTTGCTTCAAACGAATTCGGCATCCTATCGTACACGTCCAGTACTGAAGCGAGACAGTACATACTTGATGTTGTTACGGCAACGTCCGCGCTCTCTACAGAGCCTGCAACGATATGGTGAGGGAGACCAGCCTCACTATAGTTGCGATAAAATCCCGACAGCAATGGGAAGGGTTGAGTAGACTTGGACAGTGCAGGATCGCTCCAGGCTATAACCAGAGGAATCTCAGCGGTGGAATACTTTCGGTTAGCCTCACTTAGTTCCCGTTCGACACTTGCTTCCTGGAACACCTTGGCGATGTTACTTGTTAACTGCCACGATAGCATTGTAGAATGTACTAGCTGCTCGTCTGGTGTGTTTGTACTCGCACCTGAAACACTGAAGGTCTCAGATAAGCGTCTTAAAGCAGACAAATCTAGGCATACTAAAATGCCTAGAAACGCTTGCTCCGGTAAACCTGAAAACACACCAAAAGCAGTGCGAATTGCTCGCCTAGCACTTTGAAGTCTCTCCACAACTTGGACATCGCCCACAGATGCCTGAATATCCGTAAAGTTACCGCATCCTGCTGCTGGTTGAATGTAGTTTTTAATGGGATGATAATTGCTGATACGTGCAGCTACAGCAATGTTTGATACCTTGCCGTCTACAATCACCCGAATGTGTTGATTTCGGTCCGTTGATTGGTAGCCGATATCAGCCGTGCAGGAAACGCCAATATGGTCAGCCTGGGCACCTACTTTCCAATGCCATTGACTGCACGTAGCGGCTCCGCTGCCAATCTTGGAATCGTCTCCTTTTTGTGGCTGTAAAACTTGAGTAACCGGTAAACTTCTTGGCTGGGCTTCTACCTTAACAAAAGGAAGCTTCAAAAGATACAGAAGCTTTACGATAGACACAACAATGCAGCGTTATCGTTAGTAAACGGCAATATAAGTGTCACGAGCATATAAATGAGACGGCATGTACCTTTAGTCGAGACAGTGACGCCTGAATAGTTGCTACGTTAAGCGTAATATCAACAGCATACGCGTGACGGCAATTGGCAAAACTATGTGAAAAATCCACTATAATGCGAACGTCTTGAATGTTTAATACACTCGGATTTGCCAGCCCCTTGAGAACACCACCTTTTGAAACGCCCAATGTAGCGCTTTTCATCGTGCATGCGATCTTGACCACGCCGCCAGGCGTTACCTGAGTCGGAAGTCCTGTGTCCATCTCCACTGATGATACCGATAGTAATGGCACGATTAATTGGAGTGCCTCGTTTACACGTACATCCGCACCGGCAGCTTTCAGATCAATTTTCAAGGTCCAGCCAGTTGGAGCATTTTTCATAGAATTCTCTTCCTTCACATCTTGCTCTGGATTATCATATTGAGGGCTTGACTCTTTTTTAAGCGGCACATTTGCCATAACACCTTGCGCGAGACCTAGCACAGCACCAATAAGCTGCACTACACCTTCCACGTTCACGAACAATCGGGCAAGCTGCGCATTGATGGCAATATGACAATGCGTACATGTTGTTGCGAGTGATCCGGGATTCAAAGAAAATAGACTAAGCGAGGCAAGAGGTGGTACATGCAGTACACCCGACGATTTTTCTTGGAAAATTTCAAATTCGAACAAAGAAGTATTGAGCTCCGATCCTCGAATCATCATCGGAGCAACGCCGCCTTGCAGTATGAAGCGACAAGCTTTGTTCTTGATTTCTGTCTTTGTTAAACTGACACTGACTGATGCAATTTCAGCACTTAGTGATTGACGCTGAGCCATTAACAGCCTGGGTTGATTAGAAACCATCCTGGAAAATGCTGCCCCGCACGTTTCAATCTGAAATGTAGTTTGCAACGTTTTTGAGGACAACTTTAATGGTGTCCATATGATTGGATACCCGAGAGGACTTGATAACTCGTTTATCACTGACGCAACATCTTGAGCGGCAGACAAAGTTACATTCACTCTTAGTTTGTTCAAACTCGTGAAGAAACCATCTTTGTCTCCTCCATGGTCGGCAGAGTTTGTCGTGACCAGATAGTCAATCCCGACCGCTTCTGCCAGCACTATTGGCGTGGTTGTATTCTGCGATCTTTTCACATAAGCGGATAAAGTGCTAAGTTGAAGATTTTTCTTACTGCTACCTGGATGGTAGGCTTCGAACCACGCGAAGTCGCGCGCAATCACATTCAAATCACCACGAGATCTTGATTCTAATCCATTTTTTCCTGGTTCTGCTGGTTGATCAGGCACACGAATATGAACATTTCCAATTGTAACTAGTGTGACGTCGCTCTTATTTATAGTCGACATACTGGGTGCCACAAAGGTTGGTGCTGATGTTAAAGATGCAGCGCCTCCCATTCCCGTCTCGCCCTCGTCATGCTTATTCCTGCACGAAAATACTGATAACACTTTCGTTATCTCCAAACACTTTGAAGGTTCCAAGACAACATGAACATCGCTCATTGATATGTCCAACACCTTACGGGCTCTCTCCTCCTCTGGATGAACGTCAGATAACAATTTATCGCGGTCAGTGAAATGTGACGTAGATGCCAAGCGCAAGCGCAGCGCCGAGTGAACACTTCGTTGCTGAATATTAGTGGAGGAGGGAGAAGATGAATAAAGTGAAGATGCTGAACATGAGTGCAGCGTGTAACGAGAAAACAGCGCGATCAATTGGGGAAGAAGAAGCTGCGTTAAATTATCCAGGGCTCCAACATCCGGATTGCGGTGAGCGCGGTATTCCTCCGCGGCTAAAAATAAGGCACGGGTCATTTCTTTAGAAATCAAGATAGGAAAGTCATTAGAAGCCCAAGCGGTGGACACGGCATTCGATAAAATGCCCCCGTCGAGAATTCGCTCCTTTATTCCAATGAAACTAATTGCCTCTTGGCAAACTCCAGACACTGTGACGATTGGAATACAGCGAATGCTTTCACCATTCCATGTTGTAAAGCATTCACAAGGAGAGTCCAGATTTTCTGCCAAGTTTCTGCTGACTTCCAGGGTTTTCCAAACGTGATTACCAGTATCCAGACCCACTTTAACGATTTCAATACTCCGTGCTTTGCGCTGGTTTAGCCGTGTTGTTTCTTCACCAAAAAATGAGCTGATGAAATATGGGTGCGAGGCGCAGTCGGAAAAGCGAGCCGAATCATTTGATCCCCATGTAAGTAGCACCTGTCCATTTTTGCACTTCGAGTCCTCTCGATTTTCGTTGATTGTAGCCGATGCCAGCTCGACCTTTTCTATTTCAAACACCAAATCCATTCCGCTTTGTTCTTCTCCCCGTAATAGCAACATTTCTAGAGCTACGCAACTTAGGATTATGTTGAGAATGGGCACAGCTGGCCGCGCTATTTCTCTCTTTTTTCTTTGCGTTATAACCTTCACCATGCCAAGATTAGCAACTGGAACAAGCTCTTCTTCGCTCTCAGAGATCGTAAAATTTTGATGCTCCAGTCTTTGACTCACATTTTCATGTTTGCGCAATGTCAAGGAAACGGAGCTGATGCAAAGTCGCAAACATGAGGTCTTCGTAACCGGGCCACTGGCGACCACCGGATCTTCATCAAGGTTACTGTCTCGCAATTGAACCTTTGACAGTGCCCCTCGCGTTTCAGCAAGCAGCTCTGAAACTAACTCGTCCTCTTCCTCACCTTCAGCTGTACCCAGAGCATTCATCGCCCACCCGAACCAGGAGTCGTGTTTATCAGACGAGCTATTCATCTTTTGGTCTCCCGATTGACTTCTGGTGGGTAACATAGCAGGTATATTAGGAACACGGGAGCGCTTGGCGTTATTGTTAACGCTTGTTGCGTGATCGTGGTCTCCTCCTTGGTGTGGCTGCTCATGGGCTTGGTCTATCTTGAGTGATGCATACTTCATCAGCTGATTCAGCATCTCTAACTGTCTATCGCTGACGGAGAAGAACAGTTCACCAATAAAAACATCCACCTCGTACATGGGTGTCACACGTGAGCGGCTGCACGAGTAGTAGTAAAAAGGGTCACACAACACAGATGGTCTGTACGTGAACAATCCATCAACATCTATAATACTGCCTTCAATATCATTTGCCATAGAAGGTCGTTGGTGCACAGGAGACCTCAAAGAGCTTAGACTGCTTTTACAATTATCCTGAACTTTCCTCGTAGCATCAGAGAAGAGCTGCAACTTGGCTCGGACTGAAGCCGATGTTCGACTAAGCACAGGCACCTCGTATCCAACGACATTTCGCCGTACCGGGTCGTTTTGCATTCCCAATTTGGTGTTTCCTTCACTTGTATATCGATCAAGAAATATCGTCACATCATTTGCATCGATTCGTTTACAGATCGTGCGTTGTTTTCCTTTGAGTTCTTCAAAACTGCGTTTCCACTCGTGCTTTTCATTAGCAGAATAGAAAGTTAGAGTCCCGAGAGCAATTGAAAAGACCACATCGTCATGCTCGTACTTGAGCACGAGATTGTTCACTTGAACAGTGACATTTGCCAGAATTTTCTGCAAAGTGTCATGAATCCAGCCTGATTTGGGCTGTTCCATCTCTTCTTGCTCTTCTTTCAGTGTAATTGTATCCACAAATGGATCTCTTTGAACTCGTTCTTGACAGTCCTTTTTAGCTGTTAAAATAAGTTCAATTGTATAAAGTTTTACTTCAATAGCTTGAGATAATAACTGAGTCCATGGAATATGAATACGAAGTTCTCGAATAAAACCACGTGAAAAATCAAAACTTGAAGGAATTTCGAGACTTTCACGGAGCACGTGACGTTTAATTGCTAGATCATTTAGTACAAGATCTCCACCAAAAAGACCCAATCCTTCTAATTGAATGTCTTGAATATATTTGCTTAGATAGAACTGGAGATTCTGTGCAATATAACCACGTAGAGGCGACAGCAAGTCCAACATGACCGACTTAAATGATGATACCTAGGAACAAGTAAAACCAACTTTATGTGGTGATACATTAATAAAGGACGGTCATTGAATTCGGACACGAGACTTACAAATTAAACTGCTGCTGCTATTGTTGAAATGGCTTTTGTTCGATTAAAACCGTGTGTTTTGTATACGAATGGCTACAGACGGATTGTAGCCATTTGCACGCAAATGGCATTGCTATCAACGGCTCAATTAGCTAATAAATGCCTTTACGAGAGATTTGGCGGTGCACGGGCCAGCAGAAGTCATGATCGGTTCGCCCTTGTACGTCGCCACGCACTTGTCATCAGTCACAAAGTCTGGTGAAACTTTTTCCAGCATCTTTTGCTTCTTGATTTGCGCCGCAGAAAGTGGCTCGCCGCTCTCTAACGTCACCTTCACACGCTCACCCACCTTGGCATCAGCAGGAGGCTCTATAAATTGCACGTTCTCATGGCTCGCATCGGATGCACACAGGACCATACCGTGCGACTTGAAGCCACCCAGCTTTGCTGGCTTCAGGTTCAGCAGCACAAGCACCTTACGGTTCTGCATCTCCTCCAGTGAGTAAAAGGCCTGCAGACCGGAAGCAATTTGCTTGGGCTCCTCCTCACCAATGTCAATCTCTTCACAGTAGAGCTTCTCTGACTCCGGGTGCTTCCATACCTTGGAGATTACACCAACGCGGATATCCAGCGCCGCAAACAACGACGTGGCGGTCTTCTCAGACTTGGCCTTCACAGGTTTAGCCTTGGCAGCTGCCGACTCGCTCTGCTTCTGCTTCTCCTCCTCGGTCAAAATCTTATCAAACAAAATGTCGCCAACCGACACCTCAATACCAGGCTTTAAGTTGTCATAGTCCGGAGATAGCGCCGTCAGAGTAGTAGGCGCCGTGCCGAGCTTTTGAAAAATCGCCTCGGTGGTCTTCGGGATAATAGGCATCAGGTAGTGAGCCAGCACGTAGATCGCCTCGAGACACGTACGGACAACAACGAGACGTGGCTCAATCTCCTTCATATGCCACGGCTCCTTCTCCGTCAGATATTTGTTGGTATCTTTTAACGCATTGACAATCGCAATACAAGCGTTCTGCAACGAGAAGTCCTTGTACGAGTCCTCCGAGTACTTCAGCAGCTGGTAGATATCAAACGGCTTGTCCGCCTTGCTATCAGGCACAACGCCATTCGAATACTTCTTACAGATGTTAACGGTGCGGTGCACCAAGTTGCCCAGGGTGTCGGCGAGTTCCGAGTTATGAATGTTGATGAGGTCATCTTCGGAAAAAGGCATGTCCTGGCCAAACTTTGCCGAGCGCACAATGAAGTAGCGAAACGATTCTAGTCCGTACTTGTTGATCATCTCATACGGATCAATGACGTTGCCAATGCTCTTGCTCATCTTTGACCCGTCCTTAGCGTTCACAAAGCCGTGGGCGAACACCCGCTTGGGCAGCGGAATATCCGTGCTCATCAGGATGCACGGCCAGATGACGCAGTGAAACCACGTAATATCCTTGCCGATAATGTGCACGTTAGCAGGCCAGTAGCGAGCATCCGGACCATCCGGGTAGCCAATGGCCGCAAGATAGTTGGCCAATGCATCGAACCACACGTAGAGGACGTGCTTCGGGTCACTAAGCAGAGGGATGCCATGAGTAAATGTATTACGTGAGGCTGACAAATCCTGCAGTGGTTCCTTCAGACGACGCAGCAGCTCCTGACGACGTACTTCAGGTTGCAAGAACTCGGGATTCTCTTCAATGTGCTTCACTAGTTGGTCCTGATACTTGGACATTTTGAAAAAGTACGACTCCTCCTTCATCTTCTTAAAAGGCGTACCAGTCGTAAGATCCTTATAGTCCGTGAGTTGTGCCTCTGTCTCAGTAACAAATGTCTCTTCACGTACATTGTACCATCCCTCGTAGTTGCCAAGGTACACGTCGCCCCTATCGAGCGCTCGTTGGAAGAGCCATTGGGCAAATTTCTTATGCACATCACTTGTAGTGCGAATAAAGTTGTTGTTGCTCATATTAAGATCCTTGGTAAGTTGCTGAAAGATGGCTGCATACTTGTCTACGAGCTCCTGAGGCGTGACACCAGCAGCTTCAGCCGTCTGTGCGATCTTCTGTCCATGTTCGTCCGTGCCCGTGAGAAAGTAAACGTCACGGCCAAAGACACGATGATATCGGGATATGACGTCCGAGCACACATTCTCATAAGCATGTCCCATATGTGGCAAACCATTCGTATAGTGAATGGCCGTCGTAAGGTAAAAAGTCTCACGCTTTGGCTTTAAAACTTCCATCTCCGTCATCATCTGCTCCAAACGTTCCAAACGTGTGATCTGTTGCTGCTGTGTTCTTTCAAACTTGTCGACACGAGTAACGAGATCTTCAATCCTTGACATGCTATGGGTTAATTTACTTGAAGAGACGCTGATTCGCTTTTGCTTGGAGCAAATTAATTTCGACTGGTTCCTAAGAGCCACGAGCATATTCCAAGCATCCGTGAGCAAAAAAACCACGTGGTACTTGACTGGTTAAAAATAAAGACGATATACGACATCTTATTGGTAGATATTCGACATGGCCCCAATCGCCCGCCCTAAATAGATGGCCATCCCATCCTCATCATAGTCTTTGCAGTCGATTTTTTACTGCTGCCTACTTTATCAGTAATTATTCGCTACAGTCCGTAACATTATTACATATTGTACAAATACATGTAAAACTAGTAAACTCGTCTACGCCACGTCGCAGACTTTCATACTCGAAATATGATCCTACATGGTCCCAGTAGCTCTAGCGACTCGCTTTCAAGTGCCACGACGGACAAGCGGGATCTCATGCCACGTAGTCAAAACAATAGCATGACAAGTAATAGTAGTATTCTTCATAAATTTACAGCTGATGATCCAAACTCCTTTGGTTCCATGTTGGACCAGCTTCATGCTGAACAAAAAGGTACAATCGAAGCTTTGACTTGTCAGGTTGAATTCTATCGTCAGCGAGAAGAACGTGCACGTCAAGAGCTCGTAACATTAAGACGCTGTCTACCACTTGCTGATGGGGATAAGGGCACGGCCTCTGTTGCGAAATTGGCCAGTGAAAACCGTGCCTTGGGCGACAAATTGGACGCACTGCAGGCGAAAAAGAGTGGTTGGGACAGGGATCGTACACGGCTGGAGCGACAGAAGAAAGAGCTAGAGAGGCAGTTGAAAGATGCCAAGCATACACTTACGAGTTTCTCGCAGGCCATTGAACAGCTGGAAATTAAGATGCAGCGCAAAGAGGCGGAGGTACAGACGCGGTGCCTTGAACTGGAGCAGGAACTGAGTGATACTAAGCACGAGTGTGAGCAACTGCAACAGGACAAGACAGTGATGCAACAGCAGCTGGAAAAACTTCAGTCAAATAGTGACGAGAATGCGAGATTGCGCGCTGAGCTGCAGACGTTGCTACACAGTGCAGGACACAGCTACAGTGAACAGGTCAGCAGCTCATGCTTTTCATTGGAGATCAATAGCATTCGTAAAAAGCTGAATAGCTTGGAAGATACCAAGCGAAAACAAGAAACAGAAATTCAGGAACTGCGAGGGAAGTTGGCGGTATTTGCTGCTGAGGTGTCGGCAGCTCAGCTTGAAGTTGAGCGCAAAAACAGCGAGATTAAGGAGATGCAGCTGAAGCTGGACAACGCGAACAATCTATTGACTCTTCGAGAACAGCTGCTTGCATCGGACGACAGCTCGAAAAAGGAAGTTGAGGCACAACGACAGGAACTAATGGCTTTAGTGTCAACGCTGCAGCGCGAAAAGAGTGACCTACAATGCGAGATTTCCAGCTTATGCAAGGAAAAAGAGACCACCAAGGCGGAGCTGCAAACTGCGAAATCACGGCTGACCGCAAAAGACCACACAATGATAGTATCGACGCTTCGTAATGAAGTTGCATCGCTAAAGGAACGCCTTCGCAGTGAGTATATGGACGAAAAGAATAGTTTGATATCGGAGGCCCAATCGTTGAAGCAGGAGCTCAAGCTGCTGCGAAAGCGACTGGCAGAGAAAGACTTTGCTGCTCGCAAACTGGAAAACGACATTCTTGGACGAGACGAGAAGCAAAAGCAGACTGAGTACGACATCCGACAGTTGCGAGAGAAGATTAGCCGACTGGAATCTGAGCTTGGTCAGTCCCGAAGTAAATACGAGCAGCTTGAGCAATGCCGGACGTCGTTAGTAGAGCAGCTTGATTTCGGATTCAAGGAGTTGCTGAACGACGAAGAGAGTGCGGCGTCTGCGCATGAAGAGGTGGAGAAACTGCGCAGCGAACTGACTCGGATAAAAAAAGATAGTTTGGCTTTAGAAACCAAACGGCAAATGCTGGCGGAGGAGCTGGATCGCACCAACAGTAACAACCGGGATCAAGTTACGCGTCAGAATGAGAAGATTGACGAGCTGTACCGTCAGCTTCTTGAAAAAGAGGAGATCATCACGTCGTTGAAGGGTAATGAACGCCAAGTGGCCTTGCTACAACAAGAGAAAGAGTCGTGGGAAGGAGCAGTCACTGATGTGCGCTTGCGCTTTGAAAGCCGAGTGGAGACGGAAGTACGTAAGGCCGACAATCTTCGCTCTCGGATTGAACAGTTGGAACAGGATAAGCTGTCTCTGAAGCAGCAAATCAATGCGCTTGAAGAAGAAAACGCAACTTGGAAAGAGAGAACACATGCGACCGAGCTATCTCTTAAGCAAAAAGATGAGGAGTTGGAGGTCCTTCAGCGCGATCTCTCTCGTCTTGAAACCCAGTTTGTTGACGCAACCAAACGAATTGACAAGGGACAGGAAGAGATCACGATCCGTGAGCAGAAACTGTTGAAGGAACGAAAGAAGATGGAGCGCGAGATAAGTCAGCTCATGCATCGCATTGAAAATGCTGGCCAGCGAAACTTTGAGCTTGGCGAGAAGGTGATCGGGTTTGCGAAGCAATCCAAGGTGGACCAAACAGACTTGGTGGCGTTGAGCTCTCAAATGAAAAGTTACAAGGACCAGGTAAAGGTGTTAGAAACACAACTTGGACAGATTCATCGTCGCAACGGAATGGAATCCAACACCGTAAGCGATCTTCAGAGAAAACTGAATGATGTGACATGCTTGAAAGAAAGCTATCAAATCGAGATCAACAACCTTCGGCAGAAGCTAGATGACGTACAGAACGACTACATTGTGGTAAAACAACAACGTGACGAGGCCGTAAAACGAGTCCGTCTTCTTGTACGGTGTCGCGATGAAATGCAGGCGACCATGGAAGATCACACGGCGGAGTTAGTTGAAGAAATCGAGGCGCTGCAGCACCAGATGGATAGTGAGCGCAAACGGTGTGCCGTGCTACTTGCCAACGAGAAGACGCTGTTGCGCGATCTTCAAGAGCGGAACGCAGCCATCACAAAGCTACAGCGTACTCTCTCAGTATGTCAACGTCAAGGCCAGGACAAATGCAGCAGCGATCGATCTAGCAGCTCGGTTTCCAGTCGAAGGCGGCGCTCTCGAGACAGTAGCGGCGCAGGCACCCCAGTGAATAGAAGCGACCAATCCACGGTCCCTACGACGACCTCGCTGTCCCCGGATCACCACCATAATCATTCGCAGCAGCAGGAGCCGCAAGAATTGCTCTCGTCGAGCTCCGCATCGAGCATCAGGCCGACCATGACGCCGGGAAAAGAGATGGAGCACCTATTGAGTAATCTGGAGCGCATTTCGGACTTTTCAGCGCAGATGCAACAGCTTCATCCTTAATTTTATGTAGTTTTAGGGCTTGAGTACGTGCAAAGAACTTTGCTGTTTGTAACGCAACGTACGTGTAGTAATTTGTAACAATCAGCGGATAATATAAGACACATGGTTCGTCTTTGTAACAAATTGTAAAGTTGAAGTAGACACTCTCGTTGCGTTGTAATTGCGTTAAAAAACGGACAATCGTCACGTTGTTGACAAACCAGCGTCCCTACAAGTCGCAAACTCTCTACGATCTGGCGATCCAAATCGTCGTCTCGTAGTATCAAACAGCCCTTCATCCTCACTAAAAAATCGAACATTAGCATCATCAGCTCAGCAAAAAAAAAGCAACTATGATAAAAAATTAAAAACTGCACATCTCAATGTCGTTTTCATAACATCGACGCATCATTTACAAGTGTACATTTTTTTGTATATTATAGAGACTTACTAATAAGTGTCGAGTATATGTGGCGATTTCGTGTTAGCAACACAGTTAAGTAAAGATTTGGTAAGCCACGTCACGACGACGTATGGAGTACACGAACTGTACACAAAGTGCTCAGCTATTATTATTATTATTATTATTATTATAGCCTCAAGACTCAAGACTCAAGACTCAAGACTCAAGCCTCAAGACTCAAGAAACGTCACAAGTGGATTGACAACGTCATTGAAACAAGTACTGGAGTAAGGAAGTATATAGAGCTTATTATACAAGAAACATGAGCAAGGAGTATGCGGGTGATACACCTGATTGGATGCAGGAACAGGCAGCTGAGTATACGGATTTAGTAGGAAGTTTTGTCGAGTCGGTTGTGGATTCCAATACCGATGAAATGATTGAGTATCAACTCATTTGGGAAGGAGGTGATTTGGGTGTAGCACTTACAACTATTGAAAGTGGAGACGGAGGTGTTGCTGTGAGTCGTGTTACGGGTAAAGGATTTCCCTTTGGTATTAAGAATGTTGGACCGGGGGATTTGTTGCTCTCTATTAATGTAAAGGATACGACAAAAATGAATCTGGACGATGTTGTGGCTTATTTACAAGTATGTGATCTACCGGCTACACTTCGATTTAAGAAGATCTCACCAGTAGTAGACAATGTTCCCGTCTCAGTGCCTAGGAAGAGCACGTACGTTATCACGACTGGTAATGCACAAGGCCCTACTAGCCCCATGGGTTCCTCGGCTCCTTTATCGTACCCTCATGGCTCAAGTGCGTACGCACCGCCGCATCCGGATCGTGCCTCGATGCCTGTGCACACAATACCGTCAGAATTTCCAGAGCCCCCAGTGCCATCTCTGCGCCAAAGTGCCATGACGCCAATGACAAAGTCGGCTGCCCCCGAGCCTCTTGCATTCAACGATCACGAAGAATTTACACCCGACGAAGATCTTAAGCTGGATCCTATGGCAGCGGCCAGCTCTCAGCCGGAGGAGGATCTTCGCGATTTAGACGGTTTGGTTCTCACGGCAGGTGTGAACGACCTTGGCTTTGAAGATGGGTCAATACGTGCATCACGCGAGTCACGTGACTCGTGGCGTGATGACAGCTTTGATGTTGATGCCGGTTGGGATGTCGACGAGGAGGAAAAGAAAGACACGCAAGGTGTTGCACCAAACGAGAAGCGAAGCAAAGAGCGGTTCCAGCGCAACAAGAGTGGTTCGACAGTTGCGATGCTTGGACATTTCTCCGTTGAAACAAAGGGAGATGCCGTACCAATTCTTCCTGATGCTGAGGAGGCGACGGGTATTGCCGCAGTTGACAACGTGAGTGATTTCTCGTCTGAAAATCGCCATGCGTCACCTCCTCACGCAAGTGGCCAAGTGCGTCCATCAGACATGTCATCTAGCTCGATGTCGTCTTCGATGAGTTCATCCATGAACAACACGGATGCACCACGGCCTTCGGTCCGCGTAACCATGGATAGCACGGCTCCGCTTGTGAAGAGCCACCCAATCGGTGCTCTACACGAAATGTGTGCGAAAGGCAACCTTCGCGGCGTGGTGCAGCACTTACGTGTGGACGGCCCCGAGGCCCTGTTGAATCGGGAGCCGAACCACGGCCAAACGGGCTTGCATCTTGCGGTAAAGAGTGGCAAGGCGCCGCTAGTGAAGGTGATTTTGGAGCAGTACAAGCCGATTGAGGACATTATCAATGTTGAGGACGACAAGGGCAACACAGCGCTGCACTTTGCAGCCACGAAGACACCAGCTATCGTGCACCTACTTTTGGAGAACGGTGCAAGTGCGAACGTAAAGAACAGCCGGAAGTTTACACCACTGATCATTTCGGTGATCACGTCAAAGGACGATAGCGTGATCATCCCTCGTATGCTCCTCAAATACGGTGCCAATCCGAACGACATGCACGACAGCCACACGGTTATTCATACTGCTATCAGTACGGGACGATTGAATATTGCTGGTGCACTCGTGCGAGCAGGAGCTAAAATGGACGTTGAGGACGCCGAGGGCAAGAGCGTGTTTGAAAAGCTGCGCCGGAAGGACCTTCGGTACCTGATTTCTCACATTTACTTCCCACCCACTCACATTACGAAGAAGGAGCGTTCCGAGTGCATGCTGTGTCATCAAAAGTTCAAGTTTGGGTACCGTGAGCACAATTGCACGCACTGCGGCCGTCTCTGTTGCGCCGAGTGCTCTGCACTACACGTTGAAATGTTCCGATTTCCAATGGGTTTTCCCGGTCGCACTCGTCGTGGTGCAGCGAATCGTGACCAGAAACGCGTGTGTAAGACATGCTACAATGTGTTTAAGGAACGCAACGAGGAGCCAGAGAAGAGCGACGTGTCGAAGTTTATTAGTCGTGTGATTAATATCGAGTGGGACGAAGTGAATCCGGAGAAATTGCTAAAGGAACAAGAAGCAAGTCGTCGTGGAGATAAGTGAGGTGTAGGAAATGGTGACTCATAGTAGCAATAGACGACGAAAGACACAGAAAAAGTGAATGATCAAGAGACGATGGGAACGTCGTATTAAAAACCAAAACCAAATTGTTGTGCTACTACATACGCCGTCGGAACTAACTGTAGACGTACCTATCCGAGCGTTCTACCGTACCTACCCGAGCGTTCTACCGTACCTACCCGTAAGTTCTGTCGTACCTACCCGTAAATTCTATCGTACCTACCCGTAAATTCTACCGTACTTATCTGTAACCTACCAATTTAAAATTACCGTACCTATCGGTAAGTCCTGTCGTACCTACCCGTAAATTCTACCGTACTGATCCGTAAAGTTTACCGTACCTATCCGTATGTTCTACCGTACCTATCCGTATGTTCTACCGTACCGTGGCAAATCTACCACTGCAGATGGTACGTCCCGAAATAAATACGAGCGACTTTAACAAGGACAGACGGCGTTAATATAGCAGCACAATTTGAGATTCAAGGAGTCGCTAATCGACAAAGAAAGTGCAGTGTCTCCGCATGAAGAGGTGGAGAAGCTGCGTAGCGACATATATCGGTTTATACAAATTAGTTATGTTTATATGCTATAGATTCTAGACTGAAAATGCGGACGGAGGATCTAGATCGCACCAGTAGTGCGCACCCTTTTGCTTCTGTTTGTAGCTTTTGGCTGCAATAATTGAGCAAGACATTTGTCGGCCGAGTGTTAAAGAATCAAAAACTAGCTTATTATTGCAGTAAATTTCCTTCTTTAGTCAGGCAAAGCAAGTGCATGGCAACTATCGTCCAAAAATTGCTCTTAGAATCTTGAGATGCCATTTGTCCAGATAAATCGTTACCTTGAAGTGGTTTTTGATAATGTATTTTATAGTACCACGGTAAGATATTCGTAATTTATCTTTAGATTTTTGCTGAATTTGTCAAATCATTGACTTTACACTAAATTAATACATTCTACCAAATGAGCGGCAAGTAACGGCTGTTTTATATTCTTGCAAACGAACCCTTCCCCGCAAGTCGGAAGCTGGTCATCTATAGGGATGTATTGCACATGTTTTCATACGTCACGGCCACTACTGTTTCTTGCTATTCCACACCAATGCGAATAAGTTCGGTGAATAAATCTGTACAGTTTGTGCGTTTAGAAACACTGGCTTTGTCGGAAAGACTCGAACAATAAGTTCATTCATCTCTTGAGTTTCTTACTGTCCTGAAAAGATGTCGCAGACTGACAGCTTTGTCCCATGTTGAGGATAAAACACCAAAGATTATGAACAGCCACCATCATAATATGGTCATATACAGAGAGGAAGCCATGTGGTGTGTGATAGCCGGGCACTTTGTATCGTTCTGATTGGGTAAAATATAACTGCCTGACCAGCTTTTTAGAATGCACGTTTTCTATTGGTTCTAATGAATAACAAGCCTTTCTGTCATGTACTGACCTCTTAGGAAGTCAGTTCAGATTGTAACGTTAGCAGAGACAAGAGCGTTTTAATCGCATACGTACGTACGTACGTACTCATTCACTTACTCACTCACTCGTGCTCTTCCTCTTTGTAGTAAACACAACAATTGAACGAACGTAAGTGTCTTCATGTGGTAGATTTGAATCCATTTCTCATATATATTGAACACACAAGACGCTTTAAAACTAACACTATGTGATTGCTTCGACTTGATTTTTTCTTTGTGTCTGTTACAGTCACTCGACTGTAGAGTAGAACGACTTGACGACGTTTGTTTGTTGATATTCTTTGCTCACTTGTTCATCCACTCGGTAGAACAGACGCAGTCATTATGGCACCCAATAGAAACACGAACGCAGATGTGTGCGTTGAGGACGTGTGCAGCAGTCTTTCACTCGACAGCTACGACGTTGGTGCTGTCCTGAGTCCCTGTAGTAACAAACACAATTTGGAAGACGTTGTCATTTTCTTTGATTGGGGTGAGTGTGGCTGCTGCTATCGCTCTCTTTGTAGCTTTATATAACATTGTACTCAGTCTTCTCACTCTTTGCTCCCTCTTTACCTTTGTAGATGACACTCTGATGGCGTCATCGGCTATTGCTAAGCTTGGTCTCTGTCCCAAGTACATTAATGAAGAGCCAGAGATTCCGGATGACGTGCAAGCTGAGCTCAAGGAGTTGGAGGAGTCGGTCGTGCAACTGTTAGAGTCAGCACTGTCTTATGGACGTGTGGTCATTGTGACGGCAGCTGAGACCGGCTGGGTTGAGCTGTCGGCGTCGCTATTCATGCCAAGCGTTGTGCCATTTTTCAACTCACGGATTAAAGTCATCTCGGCACGTTCCACGTACGAGTACTTGTATCCAGACTGCCCACGTCGATGGAAAGTGGAGGCTTTTAACAACGAGGTTTTTCCAATGTGGGAGTCGTACAGTGAGGAAAACTCGGCGGGTATGCCGCGACATGTTATCTCGCTTGGAGATGGCCCTACGGAGCGCGAGGCACTGATCAACGTCAAAATGCAGGCAATTGATGCGTGCCATGGCAAGTCTATGAAATTTGTAGCCTACCCGAAGATCCGAGAGCTGCAACTGGAGGTGGAGCTGATCCTTGCTAATATGGAGCACCTGTGTACGCACGAGGGGGACCTCGATCTGCAAATTACATGGGAGATGCTCAATGGTAGCGCATAATCTTTTTTGAGAGTGCAATTGTGGCTGCAGCGGTGTGTCGCAATTGCATGTGAGGAGTGCTGCTTGTACAATGTGGATAGATGTAAAGTATGACCGGGCCCAATTACGATTTTTGGGAGGGCTCGGCATTGATCAAGTGCTTAGGAAAAACAAGGAGATGATTGCGAAAAACATTTGAGAGAGCGAGCGGATACGTGGCACAAGACCGAGAAAAAGAGCAAGGTCGACTGCGAGGACAATCTGATCGTGATGTTGAGGGACGATTTCCGACGTCAGTTCGAGGCGCTGTCGCTTCCTATCAGTACTGTATCAGTACTGTGTGCGTAGAGAAACACTGAAAAATAACTTATAAACAATAAGATGTACAGTCTCCATCCAATAAGTTCTTGGTACTGTTTCGTGACGCGTGCGTCCATTTTCCTCGATCTCCTGCTACGTTTATAGTATGAGCATTAGCATTCAAGCACCAGTACATCATGTCTCGCTATCAGTCAAAACCTCTTTGAGACAAACAAGTGGCCACAACCAAGCAAGAAACAAATAGCAACATTGACGCAAGTAATCAAACACACGTGCCTTTCAAGACGACGTTGTGCCCAGACTGGTAATGAATTGCTGTCTTTTCAAAGAGCGTCAAGCTAGTCAAACATCATCCATCATCTGTCTAGTTGCTCACGACTGCAGCTACCATCGCCGCATGAGTGTCCACACCAATCTGCGCATGAAGTTTCTCTTCCGATCCTTCAGGAGCTGAAGCCAATTGCGTCTGGTATTTAATAAGACCCGCTTGAGCCGCTTCCGGGTCAATATCCTCGACTTTGACGAGCTCCACACACGCAATGTCCGTGACCGAATTGGCGTGCGTAAGTGCAAACCCACCAGCTGTAAAGAAGCTCTGCACGTCCTTCTCACGTTCAACGTGCACCTTAATGACACCAGGCTTCAGTTGTGCCAATACAGGCGTATGACCAGCAGTCACACCGTATTCTCCAATCACACCAGGAATCTGAACAAGGTCGACCTCTGCACTTTTGTAAAAAGCCTGATAAGGTGTAGTCAGATTTAGTGTTACTTTGGTAGAAGAAGAAGTAGAAACTTGATCAGTAGCAGTAGCAGCAGTAGCAGGAGCGGCTAATAGACGTGATGAAGTGTGAAGGGCACGGACAACACGACGAGTCGAAGTCGACATCATTTTGAATTTGGTTTGAAAGGGGCTTTTTTCTTAATACTTTCTAGTCTAAATGAGCGGCGAGGGGCGAGGGATCCAATACGTTGTTTTTTGATTCGTGGAGGAGAGGGTATTTACGAGATGATGTAAAAAAGAGAGAAAATGTATTGATTTTAGAGAACGAACCAGGTAGTCCATTATCGTGATATAATTCTTCATGTCGACCATGAACTAAAGGGATCACTTTGTTTGGATGGATCACTTTGTTAATCATTTGGTTCTTAACGCGTTTCTGCGTCTAGATTACACTAAATACAACGTTTTCTTCTGCTATGGGATTGAAGGAACTCTGGTACAACCCTTGGTTGAATCTTCACAAAGAACTAGTAGAGAGATTCAATCCCGCCGCATGCTTTCAAGTACCAGCTCAGAAAAGAACCAGCTCGAAAGCCTGAGTATCCAATTACAGGTCATACATAGCCTTGTTCAGCAGCCAAAAGACAGTATTCCCTCGTTGTTAACAAGGTTGCAGCAGTCTATCCTTATTTCTTCTTGTGGTGGGAACCATTAGCAGTCTGGTCTTGCTGCGAATCACGCAGTGCTTCTGCCTTACTGATCATAGCTTCACGATCAAACACTGCTTTCGGATGTTTGCTAATGTAATGGAGCTCGTACGACTTGATGTCGGGGGAAGCACTCTATGTATCACACACAAGAAAACACCATGAGTTTTTGTCTCACTAACTTGTATTTCCTATCAGTAACAGCTCATTAAAAGACGTACCATGCAGACATCGCACGTAAAGTTAAGCTTAGCAACACCACGGGTAGCGGCACCAGCTTTACCTCCGCCCTTATTCACTTGTTTCTGACGACGATCAAGTTCTGCAGCCGTATGTTTTTTAAACTTGGCTTTACCTCCCATCTTGCTTTAAATTCCTTCTTCTTCTTCTTCTTCTTCTTTCTCTCTCTTGTGTACTTGACCTATGCTTAAGTAATGAACGTATAGTAAATATTGAGTGGAGATGAAAACCGCTTCCCTTATTTAATGTACAGCACGCTATTCCAGTACGCGCAACGTCTCTTGTCTTCATCTAACAATTCGTAGGGTTAAAAAACAAAAAAGAGACAATCACGAATGGTCAAGATTGTGCCTGGAAGTAATGGGACACCATTAAATGTACTGGAATATGAAGAGTATGCAAAAGAATATTTACCAAAAAATGCCTATGATTATTATGCATCTGGAGCAAATGATATGGTAACACTTGCAGAAAACCGTCAAGCGTTTAATCGATTAATCTTGCATCCACGTGTCCTACGTGACGTGTCCAACATGACAATCAGCACAACACTATTAGGTCATCGTATTAGTTCACCCGTGTGTGTAGCACCTTCAGCAATGCACCGTATGGCTCATCCAGATGGAGAAATTGCAAGTACTTCCGCTACGGCCAAGGCTGACACGTGCTACATCCTCAGTACCATCTCTACCACGAGTCTAGAGGATGTGGCGGAAGCTAATAGCAAAGCCAATCCTCATGCACTACGCTGGTATCAACTTTATGTGTTTAAAGACCGAGAGCTTACACGTGGACTTGTCAAGCGTGCCGAGAAGGCTGGTTATAAGGCTATTGTCCTGACAGTAGATACGCCCATGCTTGGGCATCGCGAGCCAGACGTACGCAACCGCTTTAGTCTACCGAATCACCTGACGATGGCTAACTTTGCCCACGTGGGCGGTGCACATGAACACGGCGTGAATAGTCACAAGGACTCGGGACTTGCTAACTATGTCAGTGAATTATTTGACTTGACGCTCAACTGGAACGATGTCAAATGGCTTAAGAGTATCACTCATTTACCTGTGGTAGTGAAGGGCGTGCTCAGTCCAGAGGATGCCAAGATTGCAGTAGAGATGGGATGTGAAGGTGTGTTGGTATCAAACCACGGCGCCCGACAGCTGGATGGCGTGGCAGCTACCATTGATGCGCTACCTGCCATCGTCAAGGCTGTGGATGGCCGTGCAGAAGTTTACATGGATGGTGGTGTTCGTCGCGGTACGGACGTGTTCAAGGCTCTAGCCTTAGGTGCTCGTGCTGTCTTCCTCGGTCGTCCCATTTTGTTTGGTCTGGCCCACAGTGTACGTGCTCTTCGTTTGTGTTGAGTTATTGGTTGTTCACTAACGATTTCTCGTGGCATGTTGTGAACAAAAGGGCGAAGAGGGCGTTTCGAATGTCCTTCGTATTCTCAACGAGGAGCTCAAGCACGCGATGTTGTTCTCTGGCACAGCTAAGCTTGCTGACATTGGGTATGTAATGATGTGATTGATCCATACACAGGAGGAGTCAGTAGCAGTGCATTTTAGTCACTCACAAAGATGTTGTGATGATCGTGGTGATGTTTATACAGCCCTGCTTACGTCCGCCGTGGTGTGCCTCCGCTACCTTCGTCGCTGTAAGATGATTAGGTAAATGTGCAGGAAGGAACAACATCAAGTACACTTTCACCACTTCTTTGAACCCGTTCCAACCATTCCATGTCCTTTTGTTTCCAGGTCTGCTGGTCGATCACCATTCCAGACAGTAGGAGCTTCCACGCCATTCAGCAATCGCAGCCACTGCTGCTATACTATGTAGATAAAACGTATGGTGGTCCTTCTTGAAAACGTCGAGCTGGAGCCAACTCAGTGCATTAGAATAATCCGCATTGCTACTGACTGCATCGACGCCTTTGAGAGTTGCAGTCGATAGGATGCTCAGCACGAAGTATATGCCAGCCTTGGCTGTTGCCGATAAGATAGTGATCGCTCCATTTAGAGCGTGGACAACGTGCCACATAAGCTGAAGAACCGATGCGATGCCCAAGCAGCGTACTCGAGCACTCAAGTATGTATCACCAGACCCTTAAGAACCTCGCGGTAGACCTTCAGTGTCTCACACCGAGTCCGAGGATACTTGCTTCGAACTCATCAATGAACAACAGACAAAAGAACATGATCAGCATTCATTATCATACCTCCTTGGAATCGCATTCCTAGCAAACAACTAGTTGCCATATTCATGTCAACAAACAAAAGACTTCTTACAAGCTTCACCCTTACTGCGTCGGTGGTATCGGCTGCGACTCTGTCGAGTCTGCTTGTGTCGGAGGGTTGTCTTCTTCTTGCTTCTCCTCTGAAGCTATTGATGTGGGCAAGGAGGTGGTGGTCGTCGTCGCGGTCGTGATCTTGGTCGTTTGGTCTTCACTTGTCTTCGCAATCTTCTGCGCGGATGCTCCGCCCTCCACTGCGCCACTCAGTGGGCGCTTCGTCAGAGCACTTTCAGCAACAGCAGTGGTGGCCGTGGGTACAATCGTTGCGGGACCACTACCAGCGGCATCACCGCCAGCTGCAAAACGCGCAAGGCGCTGACTACGGCGTAAAGATTCTGCAGGCGCGCTCTCTCCAGCAAGCGACAGGTGTGGAGGGTGCGAGGCACTTGGTGACGAAGATGACGGAACAGGTAGCGAGATTCCTGGCTTGCCAAACACAAGTCCGCTTGGTCCGCCCGATCCGAACGCACTAAAGCCCGCGTCAGCACCAAGTTTGAACTGTCTACTAGTCTCCGATGACTCTTTGGACTCGGTCTCGCCTCCTGTAGCAGATTTGGCTTCTGTGTCAGCAGGAGGGGCGGGAATCTTCATAGCGAAACGTGCAGCTCCATCCACCTGCTTTTTGATCGACCGCAGCGCAAATTGCCGAAGCTTCTCCTCGGCCGTCATCTCATCAGACTTACCAGCGGCATTCGTGATTAACTCCTTTGGCTGCGCTGCTATCGGAAGTGCAGGCATCGACGGTGCGGATGTTGCGGCCGGAGCCGCTTGAACAGGAGCATGTAGAGCAGGCGTTGAGGTGGATAAAATCGTATAGGACGCCGAGGTAGTCGTTGGATCAGTCGTGGTCGAAGTAGTGGTGACCGTCGTAGTTGTTGTGCCCGTTGACGAGATCACAGGAGGTAGAGAGACGACAGAAGTGGCCGGGATAGCTATGCCAGGCTTAGTCATGAGAAGGTCTACGTCAGGTAACACAGTACTTGGCTGCTGTTCCATCGGTTCACTCTTGACAATCGGCTTCGGAGATGAGACGAATGGACCGGGAATAGAAGCTGGTTTTGTCAGTGACGTGACTGTCGTCGCCATGGTAGTAGAAGAGGGCCCCTGAGGAGGTGAAGTAGGAGGTAAAGGCACAAGCGTCTTCTCAGCAGGCTGAGGAGCGTTAGCAGCATGATCCTTCAGATCACTGTTTTCCTTCTTCAGGCTCTTCAGGCCAGACATCAGACGCGCGTTGAAGTCCCTCAATTGAGTACTCTTTTTGGTTTCTTGATCCAACTGGGCTTTCAAGGTCTGACGCTCCTTCTCCCAAGACGAGTTAGCACCACTAGCAGCTGTGGCACTGTCCTGTTTCGCCGCCTCGCAAGCCGACAACTTTGTTTCCAGCGCGGCCTTTTCAGTTGTCACAGTGGCAACATGCGCTTGGACAGAGCTGAGCTTGGCCTCCAACGTGGAAATAGTGCTTGTACGATCACTCATTTCCTTGTTCTTTTCCGCAAGTTGCTTGGTCAATGCCTCAGCTTTGTTCTTCCAGTTCTTTGCAAAGCCCTTGATTCGTTCGTACTGCTTGCTCCAGTTCTCGACTTTCTTCTTCTCCTCTTCTAGCTCCTTACCACCACTGGAACGCAGGGTCTCTAGTTCATTCTTCAAGGTAGTTTGCTCGGCCTTTAACTCCGTAAGCTCCTTCGTCAGGGCTTCCTTCTCAGCAACGACCTTGTCGTATTCAGCCGGATCAACCTGCTGATACTTCTCAACCAGCTGATCAACTCGCTGCTTCCAGCGCTTGTTGGCATCATTTAGTGTTTCAACTTCCTGCTTCAACGACGTCACTTGCATCTTTAGAGCTACCTCGGCGTTCTGCAAAGGCACAAGCTTAGCCTTAAGGCTGCTCACCTTCGCCTCCTCTGTCTTGAGCTTCGCCAAGCTCTTCTGGTTCTCATCGCGCAAGGTCGCGTTACTCTCGCGCAGCAGACTCAACTGTTCCAATTGGGCAACACGCTTCTCGTCATCAGCAGAAGTCGCTGTAGTCTGTTTGCCAACTGCACTTGCTGCATCAGATAGCGCCTTAACCTCACCGCGCAGCCGTTCAATCGTGGATTCCAGGCTGAAGATTTGGGCGCGGCCACGTTGTACTTCTTGTTGGGATAACTCAAGCTTCGATTCGGCGATTTCGCTTTCCCGTCGCAAGTATGCAACCACACTTCGGAGATCATCGACTTCCTTTTCGTGCGTGCTCAGAGCGGCAGCCCCTTCGCCGGCCTCCTGGTTCGAGACAGACAGTTGTGTGCCTACCACCTTAAGCATTTCTTGCTCGTGTGCACGACGCACCTGAGTCGCTGCACGCTCAAGCTGGGAGTGTAACAATTTATTCTGTTCGACAACAGCATTCTTGGCCTCAACGACTTCGTCAAGGCGCTTCTGAAACGTTTCCGACTGAAGTTGCGCCTCCTTTTCGACTGATAGTACCTTCCCATTCAGCGCTTCAATTTCGGCCTCGTATTCACGTACAGTCTTTCGGATTTGCTCTATTTCTCGACGAGATGTTGATGACTTAGATACTTCCGCTGCATGAAGCTGCAATTCGCGCTCATAATTTTCCTGTGTCGTCTCTAACTCACGCTTCATCTTTGTCATTTCCTCGCGCATACTGTTCATCTGTTGCATCTGACCATCAGCTTGAAGCTGCAGTACTTTCTGCTTTTCCGTAGCTTCGAGAATCGACTGTTTGTACGCCTTCTCAGCCCGGTCTATCTCTTCCCGCAAACTCTTGTTTTCAGTAATGTGCTCCTTCACTTCCATGCGGGCCTTCGCCAGCTCCTCGCTCAAGTGCTTGCGAGTTTCCTCAAGCGCCTGCACCTTCTCGGTCTCCCTATGCTTCCATTTCTCACTAGCACTTGACAATTCGGCCAGGCTCCTCTCGCTGGCTTCAGCCAAAGCTTTGTACTTTGTCACGCTTTCAGTTAGTGTCTTCCTCGAAACTAGTGATGCTTGCACTTCGCGCTGAGCGTCACGAAGTTGGACCTCAAGCGCTGCTACTTGTTCAGCAGCTGTGGCACTTGCTCCCTTCCGTAACTGCTCACGCAAATGCGTGGTTTCCTTTTCTAGCAAAACTGACTTGTCTTCAAAAGCTGTTCTCTGCTCCTCAAGCCGCGCAAGCTGCTCCTTCAATTGACCATGCGTATCCTTGAGTTTTGTCAGTTCAGCGAGTGATGCCTGCTTTTCCCTCTCAGCAGCCAGAACTTGTGCTCCACAAGTAACCTCCTTCATATCGAATTTTTCATACGCATCTTGCAGCTTTCTCTCAAGAGTAGTTACTTTCTTCGTCAAAACCTCCACCTCGCGGTGGTCACGCTCCTCACGCCCACTCTCCATGCGACGCGTCAACTCCATGAGCTTGAGCAGATTCGTGTTGTCAAGGCGCAGGGTGGTTAGCTCCTGTTGTATTTTTTCCTCATTCTTGCGCAAGAAACCCGCCTCACGGACGGCCGACTCTTTCTCAACAGTGAGACGTTGTAGACACGATGTCGCAGTTTCCAACTTTGCCTCAGTATTTGTTAGCATCTGCTGGTGCTGCAGAATCAGTGAGCTTAAGTGGTCCGCCTTGGACCGCAAACGTATTAGCTCCTTCTCCGCGCTGGCACATCGTTCCTCCGATGCTTCATAACGCTCTTTGTTGCATGTAGCTTCCACCTGGGCTTGCATCTGCACTAACCTTGACTCCGAATTTTTGACACGCTCTTGGTCCAGAGCTTCCTGTAGCAATTTGAAATTGGCTTGCTTCTCAATTTTGTAAGTATCAAACTCCATCTGCACTTCACGAATTTTTCTGCTTTCAATGATATCAAGTGAGCCGTGACGGTTGTGATGTCTCTCTGCTGAAGCAGACTTTTCTTCAGCACTATCGCTGCTAGCTGCAGCGCCTTCCACAAATTTGGTATCAGATTGAGCCAGCAACACACGGTACATATCACGCTGTTTCACGATGGCTGTGATCATCTCGCGCTCCTGTTCTCGTTCAGTACGCAGTTCCTGGATCTCTTTATGGGCCATCGACAAACGCTTCCTGATTGCACTGGAGGCACCGATTTGGTCTAGTTCGTCGTCCGAGTCACCAGTAATGATCAAATGTGCCGTCGAATCCGTAGAATCGGCATCACTCAAACCATTGCTCACCTTTTCAATTGTGGATTTGTTCATCTCAGTGAGCTCGCGAATAACTGTCAAAAGCTGTTGGTTTCGCATTTGTAGCTCCTCTACGTCCTTGAAAATCACCAGATTCTCGGACCCAACGCCGCCTGATTCAAAGTTGCCTAGCTGTTCGTGCGGGTCTTGGGAGCGGAAAAGCAAGTGCTGTACTTGACGTGACAGGTCGTCCACACTCTTACCAAGCGAATTGCACTTCTTTTCAAACGCAATTTTCTCTTTCCACGCATGCTGCTCGTTGTTCTTACTCTTTGTCAGCTCTTGCATACACTGCTCCAATCTCTCACTTAGTTGTGTGTGACTGGCAACAGTGCGCTCGTGTTCCAGCCGCAAGCCCATAAGGACCGGTGCCTTCTCTTGTACTTCCTTCACAATGCGGTCCAGGTAGAGCTGCAGTTTCTCTCTCTCGTTGCGCTCCGCTTGAAGCGCCTCTTCTAACTCGACAATGTGATCGTACATTTGCTTAGGGGTCAAACCATGCGCAGCCAACAGGGCTTCGCCCGCACTTGAGGACAGTTCAGCCACTGCACTGGCCGTCTGCATTGAATATATCTTTTTCTTCTCCAGCTCTTCAATTTTTTTCTCAGCGTTTTGCAGATCATCCTGTAGTGCCTGGATACGTGCTTCTGAAGCATCCGCCTGTTCACGGAACAAGTGCTCAACCTGCTCTTTCGTACGCTCGGTCTCATGAACCAGTGCTTGTTCCGAGTCGGACAGCGATTTGCGCAGCGAGTCACATAACATCTGGAGTTCCACAACACGAGCAGAGGCATCTGCTGCTGATTCCTGGTACAACGTCGCCAGTCGACGTTGTGCATTGAGTTCATTCAACAGCGCGTCCTCATCGTGCACCTTAGACGCCTGCAACTCCTTGAGTGCCTCCTTGCTCTTAATCAATGCACTCTCCATCTTTTTAGCAGTTAATCGTGCACTCTCCAGCTGTCGTTTTGCCGATGTGATCTCCTCTGTGCTACGAATCTTTAGCTCTTCCAAATCATGTGTGTACTTGGCCACCTCCTGTCGTAGCTCCTGCACTGTCTTTGTTTTATCACTGAGTTGTGTCTCGAGCCACTGTGAATGTTGCTGAGCTGCTTCCGTCTCTTTCTTAGCTCTTGTAATAGCAAAAGTCAGTGGTGCCACCTGTGCTTCGTGCTTGGCTGCTTTCTCCAATGCCTGCATCTCTTGGCGTTGAGCATCGACCAAGAGTCTGTTATGCTCTCTAACTGTAGTCTGTAGCTCCTCGACTTCCGACAAGCGACGTTCAGCCAGCGACGTCGCTGTTTGCAGCTTGAATGTTAGTGCATCCTTCTGTGTTGTCACCTGTAGCAACTGCTGCTTAAGTTGACGTGTCTCGTCCTCCCGTTCCTCTGCAAGTTTCGTCACACGTCGAACTTCTTCCACTACAATTGAAAAGCATTTCAAGTTAGCCAGCTGTTATTCAAAGATACTCTGCCACTAAACCGTACAAGCCGCGTTCTTCTCTCCCACGAGCGTCTGACGTTCACTCTCCACAAGTGAATAGTCACTTTTAAGGCTCAAATATTTGCTCTCGAGTTCATGCAGGAGTTGTTCTAATTACATTACGTGATTCATAAAAGCGTTAAAACATTTTAACCGTTAACACTCAAGGTTTTATCAGGACGAAAAAACACTCCGCATTTGACCTCGGTCGCCATCATGACACCTTAAAGGATGTACAAAGGTTACAAAAGAAGATCAAGACGCACCCTGATTGATGCTTGAGGCGGCTAATGCAGCCGTGTCACTCCCCGTGGCCATGGGATTTTTTAAGGATTTTTTGCTTATTCCGGAATTGCAAATATGTTGGATGAGAGGTATTTAGTGGAGTGTACCTCACAAAATGGAACGTTCTCTTTGATGAGGTGAGCCACACCATGATTGTTACGTACTGAATAGATAAGTCTCCTTTCGACTGCTAGATACTTTAAGAACAAGCTTAATGTACTACGGACTTCCAGCATACCGCGACCCAGAGCGGTATGCTGATATCCGTTCATGTGCTGACAGACATGGACGCAGTCGTCAGCAAGAGTCGACCCTCGATCGTGCGGCAGAAAGAGACACGGCGTATGGCGGACCAGGTTAAATGTTCTAGCGAGTAGATAAGGACATCTCTCTTTTGCATCGAAGTGTACTTTTTCTGGCTGTATATATTCCGCAAGTACCAGCGGAACACGCGGAAAGAGACATGCCGAAGCTTGCTTCTCCACTCATTGTTCGACTGCCAGCCTTCGCTCCCATTTGTCATGCCGTGTAGACGGGCACTTCAAAAAAGCTGCCACGTGCTACGCAGGCACACACCTTCGACCGGTGAGAGGAAGCGGTTAGATCGTCTTACCTGGTGGTGGTGTTGGTCAGCGCTTTAGTGACCTTATCTAAGACAAGGGCTTCACTAACGACACGCAGAAGCTTATTCATCTTCTGGTGCGCAGTGAGCTATGTTTAGCAAATTCAAGACTGACTTATATTAATAGAAAATTATTGAATATATATCTAACAACTGATTGGCTAAATGTAACGATCGGGTACGCGTCTCTTTAGAAGCGTATTCCTACGTGAGACTTACATATATTTAAGCTCGCTGATGACGTCCGTCTGTAACGTCACCATGAGGCCTAGCCCCATTTGGGCGTCATCCCCGTCGAATGTGAGTACTAATGGATATCACACCCACGAGGGTGGGTCACATTAATGTGCCTTACACAAGTGGGTGGTCTAAGGTACCACGTACCCTTTTAGACCTCCTAGTTAAGTATCATGGACTCGTGTAACTATTAGCCCGTTATATGCCGAGCCCCAGCCTTACGACACTGACCCTCTTATTGCTTATACAGGCACCTACAGTCTTACTGGAAGCTCATCCCTGCAAAGTGTGGAGAAGTGGCTCGGAAATTTCGGCTAAGTCAGTAAAATAATCCGATCGATCAATCCAGAGCCAAGTTGTTGGGACTGTCGTGACACAACAACGGTCGGATCCCTGTCACACAACTGCCGATACAAGGATAGTGACTGATGCGGATCAGAGTCGGGGCTAATTGTGATTAAAGTTGTCGCGATCGCGATGCGCACCTGATCATTGATCCGCATCAGATCGATCACCAGTCGACATGCGATCCGTATCAGATCAAGATCCGTATGTCGATCGATCAGATGCTTGATATACGCGGTCTGGGAGGTGTTTAGGGTTAACTCGGTAAGGACACAACATTCAATCATTTCGATACATGTGACATATTCTATTGTGGTGAAGTGCTGTTTTTGTGATGTAGGGACCCCAGAATCCAGTTGGATTCGGAGTATAGACCGTGGGTCAGGGACAGGAGACCAGAGAGACAGGGGCCTTGAAGGGGAGCGACCGTTGGTGGAGAACAATCCGCAGGACCCACAGAAGAAAAATCAGTATCAGGGTACTGGTTAACTGGTACCGAAGGGAGTTGACCATGGCCTTTCATTGATCTACCTGGCCCCTCGTTGGTAGACCATGGTCCCTCATCAGTCGAACCGGCCCATCGTTGGTAGACCTGGGTCCCTCATCGGTCGACCCGGTCCTTCGTTGGTCAACCTGGTCCCTCATCGGCCGACCTGGGTCCCTCATTGGTCGACCTCTACCCTTCGGGGTTCAGCCACTCCGGACCAGTTAATACAAGGATCAGACTAGTCGACGCAAGGAATCAGAGCTTCAGGCAAGGATAGAGTAAAGGAGTTAAAAGGATAGGAATATATTAAATACTACTCACTTTGCGATCTACGTGGCACGAATCCGTCACCCAAGAAGTGTGTAAAAGAAGCGACTCGGCATGCAAACGGCAACCACAAGAATGTACGGTCTGATTAGTTAGGTGTGCGCCTATCCCATGAATAATACCACTAGCGTGGATTACTCATGAGCGACTATCTGATGAGTCATGTGCGTAGAGTAGATTACTCATGTGCGGCTATCCCATGAGTAATGCGCGATATAGTGATTAGAAACGTGTAGTCGAAGAATCCAGTAGGCTTAGAGTAGCAACAGAGTTTGTGAACTAAGGACCTAAATATATTCACTTTGCATTTTGCTTTCTACAACCCAAGTGCTTTAACAACAAGAAGAACTTGCTCTAAGTCACTCACTGTTCCGGGAAGGGATATATTTTGGCCCCCCGTCGAAGACAGTTGTGTAGCGAAGGTCAAGTGCAAATAAAGCTCCAGGATATATTTGGCCTTTGAGCTTGCTCGAGTAGCAACACCCCCCCCCAGACCCGCTATTGGAAGCGGCCTCCCTTACCTCACGGTCCGGGAGCAAAGTAGAGGTCAGGTGGTTAATACCCCTGAAACACGAAGGAAAAGGTCAGGAACGACAAGCTCCCTGAAGGATTTGGCTTCAAGTCCACTCTCGACAAGGTCGATCGAGTGGCCACCTACCGGCCCACCGAGTGAAGCATATCTACTCGAGGCCCCCCCAGGTCTACCTCCCTCAAGGCAGACGTCTACATCTTCACCAAGTCCTCCGAAGAGTGCGACCCGCCAGCCGACGGGTACACAAGGTGAGAGAAGGTCCATACGCGGCATCGGGGTACCCACTCCGACAGTCGGCAGTCCGGCACAGTGAGTGGTTTGGGGTCTCATCATACAATTTTGAGAACCCACTCCACCACAATGGTGCACGTGCCCGGATCTTCGAAAGACGCGGGATTTCACCGCGAGTCCCAAGACGATAAAGATGTTTATATCAAGAAGGAGCACAAGACCGAAGAGCCACTGGAAGACCGATCGCCAGTGACTCAAGAAGAAAAAAAAGGATCGAAGGACTAAATGGACCTGGGGAGGGGCCCGGTCAACATGGTCGAGGTTGAACTTATTGAAGAGAAACCTAAATACCCTCCCTATGTCCTCGTAGAGGACACCTTGGGTCATGATGCCTATCATGATCCAGAGGACCATCAGCCGACGGTGAAAACCGAGAGGCTAAGGTCCCCGAACAAACAAAAAACAAAGATCGCGCAATCCAAGCCGACAAGTTCCGGATGAAGGCACCCGGAAACACCAAGTCGATAGGCCCTGAGAAGTCAGGAATGGCATCATGGTCAGACGCTGACGTCACGAGAGCCTACCACCAACGCAAGCTGAACGCGTTCCTGGAGAGTGACCCCGTCGCGAAGACCCTCGAGATCCGACTGCTAGATTAGCTTACTGGGCCGGTGTCGACCCTACCACGGCTGCAGACCGTCAAGGACGCGATCACTGGGCTTGGTCACCCTTCTTCGTGAAGCGAACACGGTTCGATCCGGACGACCTGCTGTCTCTGGGATTCGACAGAGTCACAAAGATGATAGAGCATATACACAAGCGTCTGTCGATCCTAGTGGGTACCACGCCAGCAAAGGAACATCCACCTCTGACGACACCCACACAAACACGGTCCAAGGACAGCCAGATGACGCTTCAAGACATCACGGTGTGTCCCCACATGTATGGAACCGCCGGCCGCCCAGGGGCGAGTCAAGGCCCATCCCAACACCTGACGTCAAGCGGCCAAGTGGCAGCAGATCCGTGGTCACCAGAATCGTCTTCGACTGGATCAGTCACTAGGATGACCCTGGGATCGACTGGTGCGGCGCTGCTCCAAGCCCGAGCGCGCAGCGCGGAGCAGTAACCACGGGGTCTCGGAACGGCGACGCTTGGCAAGAATGAAAATCATTCCGATTTTCAGCCAATGGAAAATCAGCAAGAGAAAAAGTTGGAATTTGCTCTGCCCCGTGACGAAGATGCTGGGGGGAAGGACCTACCTACCCGGTAGGTTATCTGCAGACCCTCTTCGACGCGGCGATGGCAAGATTTTTGAATGAACGTCAAGTACCGCGGGCACACCCTAACGGGAGTGTATCAGGAGGAAGACCAGGGGCGCAATGGACGACCGTTCACCATGACCATCATCCAGGCATACAAATGCCAAGAGGTCACACGATGACCGACGTCGACATTAAATCCGTCGGTTCCTGTGAGTTCGACCCAGACAACATGGATTTGAGAGGTCCTTAGTCGATGATGGCGAACTCAGCGTTGGGGAAGATACCAAATATGGTCTCTCGCATCAAATCTCAGCGACCTCAAATCTCAAAGAGTTTCATGGAAGAGAACAAGACGAAGACAGAGCGCGCAGCTGGGTATCGACGGTCAAGACAGCATTTATAAGAGACCAAGCACCAGATGATGAACGATGTCTCGTTTTTGGAGGATTGCTGACTGGACCGGCGCAGAATTGGTACCGTCAACTGGGTCGCTCAGTCCGAGGAAACTGGAAGGACCTAGTGCAAGAATTCATGATTCGGTTCTGTGGTACGGAGGTAACTGTCGCCCGTCAGTACTACCATGCGAAGAAAAGGTCGGAAGAGACCCCGCTGGATTATCTGTACCGCCTGAATGTGCTTGGACTAAGGGCGAAGATGAAGATTAAGGATGGGTCGCCCAAGGTTCAAAAGGATCATGTCGACCACTACATTTTGACGGTGGACGACCCGGAGCTAGCAGATAAGTTGACTATGTTGCATCTGGCGGATGTGGAAGAATTGGAGGAAGTATTGACAGCATGTCAGCGGACGAAGGCACGACGAGGCAAGATGTTGTTTGGATCGAAATAGTTTCGTCAGAAGGCACTGGCACTACCGGAAAGACCGATAGATATGAACCGCCTCTCCATACATGCAGTGCGGGCGCCCTTAGAAGACTCAAGCTCTGGAGACTCCAGCCCAGATTTTTCAGAGAACGAAGGAGATCTAAGG